GAACTGAAACATTGTGTAGAAATAGATGGAGAGTACTTTTAAGGAATGTGATAATTTATTTTAAAGTTATTATGTACGTTTTCGAAAAATAAATATATTGTCAAAACTTTTCAGACACCCTACGTAGCATTGAATCAACAAGGTGATATAGAGATGAGCTAAAGCATTTCGTGCATTAAAGAGAAAGGTTAAATTGCATAGTGTTTCAAACAAAAAAACAAGTACGAATAGATTCATTTTTTACTGATTAATATAGCTAATTTATTATATCGAGGTTTAATTGTCATAAATTGAAATAAAAATATTTATCTGTGACGTTTCGTTATACCGAATCATTGATTCCCCCCAAAAAACGAGGTTTGACTGTATTGTCGTGAATAAGCACACCCACCCCCATATTACCGCAATTACCCGCACAATGTGCCCCTCATTAACAGTTTATTACATAAGGCGCATAATTATAAAACAAATTCTATAATACTGTACAATTCTGGTTACTGTAATTACTATAAATTAACCCCCCCAAGTTTGTTATTTACGTGACGGTTTGCCGATCATTTTTAATCGATATTAGGTATGTACTGTACACGATAATAATAACAACTATAGTTTATGCAAAAAGTAAAATGACATCCAAATACCTGTCATAAATACAAGTGCATCGTCGGTCCGAAAACTGGGCTCTGGGTTAACCGTTCAAAAACGTGGCTCGAAAGCTATCTAAATACATTCGTCCATTTATTATTTCCAACAATTATAGAAAAACAGGACAAAAAAAAATTACGCGAGGACTCGGGGCGTTGTATTCTTTTTTAGCAATTAGATATAATCGTAATCTAAAGTGCTAGCATCGCTATCATAACGAGTTAAGATGAAAAAATTTTTTGACAGCCGGTTATTGCCAGTCAAATTAAACCTGGTAATCAACCTGGCTGTCAATTCCACCTCAAAACAAACAAAACGGCTTATATTCAAGACGGTGAAAGTTCCCCAATACACTTTTAAATTTATTATCAACACAAATTTTTTTAATTCATTAACTTTTCTCAATCAAATCACAACTTATATATTTTGGCGTCAATTTGAAAATTCGTATTCGGGCCAGGATGGCCCCTTAGACAAAAAGTGGGCAAGAGATAGAAACCCTCTCCAATTGCCTGAATGCTGTATATTTACATTCAGGACATCATCCAGCAGCAGATCAGTTTCTAGGTCCTTACATTACTCGAACGTTTTATTCGACGTGAATTTAACACTTGCCGCAGTTGCTTTTCCTTCGTACCACCACAAAATTTCATGACGTTATCAACATGCCGTAATCCTTTACTTTACACTTTCACTCATTCATATTTATCGCCGATTCTTCTATCTACCATAAATCTTCTAATGTCTTCGTATTTTGGTATGTACTAACAAATTCCAACCTAACTTTGCTTATCATTTAATAATTCTTATTTTATGTAAAATTTCAAAAATAAAAAGACGAAAAGGGCCTAGCTGACCCTGATCGTCAAGAACGGAGAGCGAGGCCTTCGGAGGATAATCCCGATGTATCTGTCTTCTTTGGATCTTCTCCGAGACAATCGCAGGCGGGGTCGTTGAGAGAACATCCAGAATTGATTGATCAAATTTATGCTTTGGCTGGGTGAGATGATAAGGATGAAAAGCGAGTGGTGTAAAATGAGAGCGAGCGTGTATAATTGAACAAATTTATCATTGATGTAGACGCAATTTTAGCTGATTACGATGAATGATAATGTAGGCGATTTGGAATGCTCAGGGATCTCGTCACCGGAAGTGATAGTCAGCAGACATTCCTGAACAACCTAATTACTCAACTATTAGAGGAAGCCGGTGACAGGTATGGGCGTATACGAAACGTAGGGAAAGTAAGCGAAATTTGTTATTAATAGAATAAACGTCAGTTCAAAAGGTCCCCCGCCAGCAAGTAAAGCGTTCATAGAAAGCCTGCCCGACGTTCCCAAAACGCAAATTACGTCTGGTAACAATTGCAAAGCATGTTCTATAATTTATTGCATCACATTAATATTAAGCAATAATTAGCGTAACCTACTTCTTTATTAGATGACTCCTGCATCGTCTGTGCTGAGAACTTTTCAGAAAGTAATAAAAGTGTGACTCATCTTCCATGTAAGCATATGTTCGACAAAGAATGTATTATTCCCTGGCTTAAACTTGTAAGTTAATGTGCTTTACTATGCAACTGATGTTTGTGGAGGGGCGTGAGATTCACAGTAATCTAATTTACACCTTTAGCACAACACGTGTCCCAGTTGCCGATATGAAGTCGATAGTGATGATCCTGACTGGAAAAGAAAAAAGCAACAACAGGCAGAAGAGGAACAAGCAGAAGAAGAATACGATTGGATGTATATGTAAAAATAGTCATGATGTGAGGATGAAAGAGCATTTATAATTTTGCGATATCCTAATAAGCGATTAATGAAGAAACAAGGAATTGATGACTAACTTATAAAATATCTGATTAATGTGATTGGATATTAAAATTCGGCATACTGGACAAATCTATTTTAATATCAACTTTTATTTCTATCGAATCGCCGTAAAATGTTTTCAAGCTTCAAAGTTAGCATCCAATCGCCTGGGCTACGTCTTTTCTTACGCTTTACATGACAATCCTTCAGCTCATAAAACTTCTGCACGCATGCCCTATCACTCCTCCCGGGAATAGTCTTGGCAACGGTTGCCCATTTTGTCCCATGTTTTTCAATCCCCTCGAGTAACAGCTTCACCTCATCCATATTCCACGACCCCTTCTTCAACTGAGGGTCAAGTGAAAACGTCCATCGATGCCTACACTGGAATCTAGTCCTGCTGCCAATAGTATAAGCTATCTTTTGCCACATTCCAGGAGAACCCTTATATTTTTCGACGCCCTTTATCAACAACTCGTTCTCTTCTTGCGTCCAACGACCAAGCGTCCTCTCCGAGAACGTTTCACGCGTCAAACGGTACCATCTATCAGATAACTGCTTACGACCTCGTGTAGGAAAATACCTCTGTACTATTAGAGACCAATTAATACCACCATTAGGGCAACGTTCCGTGACTTCAACAGCTTTTCGCAAAAGAGTAAGTTCGTATTGCGAAAATGGTTTACTTTTGCTGATAGGATTAAGCACTTCATGCCAGCGATTTTTACACTGAAATACAGTACGGCCTGGCAGATGTTGGGCAACAATTGTCCAATCTACAGACGGATTACCAGACAGTAAATTTTTCAGTATCTCGTCTTCAGCAACAGTCCAAGAAGGCTGCGTGAAGCGGATACGATCCCATTGCGCGTGGCATTGAGATGGACTTCTTTCCTTGAAGGCAGCGGATATTTTATCCCAATTTATGATTTTCCCCCTATAAGTCTCTGCCATGGTACGTAGCGTGTTTAGCTCCTCCTGTGACCAGTAAGACCGCTTGTTGTAATAAGTCTTTCCTCCCAAGTGGGAATTGTATCCAATCACACGATCAGTCATCATAAACCTTCCTAATTCCCGCAAGTTTTTGGACATCGATTCGGAAGCATTAAGTTTCGCAAACTTGGCATCGTTCAAGCTGTTATAAAATCTCATACAATATCTCTTGCAATCGTATGCTGATCTACGTGGCATTCCTTTTGCTACTTCATTCCAATCATCTCCGTGATCGGCGACTCTTGTCCATAGCACCTTTTGTTCCCTTGCGCTCCACTGAAAATCGTTCTTAGATGATGAATTATACGACAAGGTTAACCATCTAAAGAGACAGTCTATATCAGTTCTTTCAGTCAGTCCAGCAACAACAAGTTGCCAATTCATTCCGTATTTAGCAATACGACGGAGCAGAATCTTGTCTTCTTCTAACGTCCATTTGCGTCGAGTAGAATTAGAAAAGTATCGATGCCTTACTTGATATGTTTCAACATTAGTTAACTTGCTGGCGATAAGAGTCCATTTGTAACCATGCAACATCACTTGCTCTCTTATAAAATCGTCTTCTTCTTTGGTCCATTGACGAGGTTTGTGACGAGTCTTTTCATTTCTTCTGCCACATATGCTTCTTATTGCATCAAGTGATACTGCGGGAACGTCTTTTGATATTTTTTCCAAATTATCGACACCATTTTGAATAATACTGTCTATCACATCATTGAATAGTTCGAGCGACAAGTTCTCATTTTTTAATAGAGGCTGAATGCGATTAAGCCATCGAAAACGGACAGCCAAATGTGTTCTATAGGGAAAATATTCGTCAGAAATCAGCCTCCACTTCCGACCATGTTTTCGTATTGCTTCAACTAAGATTTTGTCTTCCTCCACAGTCCAGTATCCACTCTTAAATCTAGTCGCGCCCGTTCTAACTTTAGAAGAAACATTCTTGGTTTCTTTTTTTTCATTCAGCATGACAGCATGTCTAGAACTAAGAGATTTCCATTTCCGCAAGTACGTAGAGGTGGGTCTTTCCCCAGCGTTTCCTTGTTTAAGCGATAAATACTCATAGATCAGCAGCGGTCGAATGCGATTAAACCATCGGGAACGAACAGCCACGGGCGTTCTACTGGGAATATACTCGTTTGAAATCAGCTTCCACTTTCTCCCATGCTTTTTCATTGCTTCTATTAATACTTTATCTTCCTCGGCAGTCCAATATCTACTTGATCTAATTGTTTCTTTCTGAATTTTGATCGGAGAGTTTACACTTTCCGATCCTAACAAGTCCTTATCCTCAAATTGCAATGCTTTCAACTTTTCCAAGTATGAAGTAGGGCCATTTTCCCGAATATCATTCGCTATTTTATAGAAATGTTCAAGCGATATATTTTCTTTAATCAATTGGGGTCGAATATGATTAAACCATCGAAAGCGAATCCCCGAATATGTTCTATGAGGAATATGCTCCTCTGAAATTTGTCTCCAATCTCGACCTCGTTTCCGTGCCGCTTCTATTAAAATTTTATCTTCCTCGTCAGTCCAGTATTTATTCGTCAATCTAGCCAGCCCTTCACTGTCTTTTGGAGGGTAACCTTTGATCTCTAAAACGCTATCTTCAGGATGCAGGTATCTCCATCTCTGTAGACACATTGCAGAAGTACTTTCTGGAATACCTTCTGCTATTTTATCGAATGTCTTTGGTGATTTTCCATGAACTGCCACAAGTTGCTCCAGTATCGAGTCATTTTCTGGTTTCCATACAGTAGTATCACATACGCTTGATAAAAATCTCTTGCATCTTATATGTCTCGGGAGCTGTAAGGCGCTTTTCAGAAAGCGATAAAATTTAGTATGATATTCGAGAATAAAATAGCTATGCGATAGTTTTCAACAACTTTACTATACCGCAAGTTATCATATAAAGGAAGCCGCATGAGTTTGGCGACTGTCGTCCGACAAAATTTTTGTAAAAGTTTAATTAGGCAAGTGTAACATCCATAATGCTGGAAAAATACCCCAGGGTAATTTATCAATTAGGAATCTGGTTGCCATGTTAGGGAAGAGGAAATTTTGTCATTTAAAAACTTTGCAGTTAAACTCTAAAGCTTTTCCCAACAGTTCGGTAGCAGGAGTGATCGTCATATCAGGCCACCAAATGAACGTGAACGTGCCATCAATGAGTGTGAGCTTGTTCATATACTGTATATTGCCACACCCTCAACCTGTATTGATGACGAAACAGACAGAATCCTATAAATAGAGTTCACTCGCTTAGGGTGTCTAATAATTTTCTATTTATGCGGTCTTTGATAACAATACTATAATCAACCTGCATAGTTAACATCAACAACTGGTAATTATATTAAGAACGCGACTTTGTTAGTAACGCCATCAATATCCCGGTTTTTACATTTGTTTATCAGTGATTAAAATGTAAACAATAAAATACGAGCTTAAAACTTGTTTTCGTGCTTTCTAAACAGCATCCACATATCCATTAAAACCAACCGTTAAATCATAAAGTCTTTTGGCAAAAGAATGTTCGTAATGCAGAAGAAATCTCCAGAAGAACTGGCGTTTTTGTAAACGTTATGTTTCCTTTTTACGAAAAATGGCAAAATTCCTGATATTTATTGCCTGGCCACCCACGAAAATTGTCTTCAAAAAAACGTCGCCACATCGGGATGATTTTAAGCACGATTACTTCACAGCAGCTAAAGAATTGAAGACAAAATTAGAAGGAATGTATCCAGGTTCAAAAGTGAGTGAACAAACTGTTTGTAGTAACCTTAATAGACTCGGGTTTGCTCCAGTTCTTCCGTGAAGGTTTCTATCTTAACCCAACAAGCGAAAAAAAACCGCTTAAAAATTTGATCACGTAAACATTGAATTATGATTTTCGATGAAACAACTATGAAAATATTTTGCAATACTATCCGCACATGGTCTCACATGGAAAAAAACCGGTTAAACCTATGGTAAACCATCCGCTCAAAACTCACGTTTGGGGCTGCAATCGACATCAGGGGGAAATTGGAATTCATATATTTACGGAGAATTTAGATCGTCACTTGTATCGTGAAATTCTCAATAATCATCTGTATGATAATGCAGCTAACTTGTTGGGTCATCTCTGGGTTTTCAGCAAGACAATGACCCAAAACACAATCTTACGATGTTCAAAGTGACTTAAAAATTCGGCTTTGGTCTTCCTACAGCCCGAATCTTAATCCGATCGAGTTGTTTTGAAAAGAAAATGTACATAAATTTATAAAAATTTAGTATTAGTGGTCAATTGTTAAACCCTCCTTTTAATAACAGTTTCTGAATGCTTTGATTTTCAATCAAGAACATAAATTTGATAATAATAGAATGGATTTATTGATGTTATCCGATTCTAGTCCCATAGTCATCTAATCCAATTGATTTTTTTTGTAAATTACGTTGATTAACCCCTTTTCTTCATTATTGCCTCATACGTTTTCTATAGGGTTTAAGTCAGGTGAGTAAGAAGGCAATCAAGAACTTTTGGACATTTTTCTTTAAAAAGTTCCTTTGTTAACCTGGCAGTGTGCTTAGGGTCATTGTCTTGTTGGAAAATCCACGATTTCCCCAATATAGGTTTGAAAAGATAATGAATACTGACGAAAAAGATAAATTAGAAAAAGAGAGAGTTTTCAGTAAACAATGAAATCTAGCAACTTCCTGTGAACAAAAAGCACTCCAAGCATGAACCTTGAGTGGATGTTTGACAGTTGCACACTATATCTTAAAGTAGTATTGTGAAATAATTGGAAAGTTGTCTTGTTGCGGTCGGCGTATTTAATTAGGGAGATTTATGGGAGAGCGAACTGTAAGCGGTTCGGCCGACAGAGGGATCTGACTCAATTAGCTCAGCTACCGCTGCCCTTGCTACAGCGACAGTATCAACTAAGACTGAATGCTAAGCTACAGTGACGTCTCTTATTAATTATGCGCGCTTCCTAATCCCTATACGTAACGTAGTCCAAACGTTCGTATCCAAGTAAGGAAATCTACGAATAATATTAACAACTATACTATTCTATAGAATCGATGGGAAATATCCTTTAATAAAAGGGCGATGCTTCGATTTGGTATTTGACTAGTCAATATGCTTTTAATTTAAGAACTAATTAAACGAATAAGAAAGAAATAAATGTCGTTCGCCAAATATTATCTAATTACTGCACGCTTTCAAGCGATTGCTTTACTAACTGAACGGATAAACTTTCACTAGTTCTTCACTCGCTACTCGATCTTATCACCGCAACAGTCTCGAAACACTGTAGGCAACAAGTATTGTCCGTTGTCTAATAATTACGATAAATTTCGACGATCAACGATAGAAAGAAAGTAATTAAAGGGAATTAAAATTTGTTTGTTTATTCCGTGGAATATAAGTATAACAACAGTATTAGATACTTATCATTATGCAACATGCAACATTCAAGATCTCGTTTACCATTGTTTATTTTGTATCTAGATCAGCGATAAAAATTCTAATGTTACTACTTCTAAAATTAAATCGATCATGGGCTGCATGACTTGCTGCTGCCAATTCATCGGTGCGGCTTGTCTCATCATAATCAGAAAAAACAACTTTTTTCCAATTTGAAGATGAGACTTTGCCCATTTGACACAATAATTTTTTGTACTAGCTGTTAACATTGGTACTGAAACTGGTACACAAATTAAAATGAGAGGTTACAGAGGTTCTCACAGACTGTTCTTGATAATAGTAATACGCATGAGATTAGAATAAGTGACTAGCTTTTCAGAATTAAAGAATTTAGCTGCTCTAAACCGCGCTTCTCTTGATCCGAACATATACACCATCTCCTTCATTGTGTTATAAAATTCACTTGCCATTGCATGTGTGCTGAAGTGAATATGACCCTAATTATTAGTATTAGACACACTATCAGATTTAATTCATTCGGCTTTAGTTGAAACGATCGAAAATTCTGGTCACGTTTGTATGTTTTTGCCAAAATTTCACTGTGAATTGAACTTTTTTGAACGTTATTGGGGAGCAGCCAAACGTAATATATGAAAGTATTAAACGTAAAAGGCAAATGACTCTAGACAGACAAAAATGCATAATAATAAAGTTTCGCTATAAAAAATTTTATCTCCGTCAAACGAGAACTGTCTTATAACGAACGACTCTCGATATAAGAAATTTTCGATATAAGAAAGGAATTTGCTAGGTCCCAATCACTTTCTCATATATAAAGTTTCGTTCTAAAAAAAGTTCTCCACAGTCAATTGCAATGCTTTCCAAACACTGGCATGGTGCATTTCAAGTCAGCAGAGCCTCTTCCAAGTCAACTTGAATATGATAGTTGTCTTGGTGAATTTTTACCTTTGTATACCTAAATCACTTAAAATACGGGCTGAAAACCAAAGTCTTTTGGTTTCAGAAATACAAGAAAAGGTCTTTATTATTTTATATTATATATATTATATATGCAATATCTCATTGTCTTGTATAGAAAACTCTAACAACATTTGTGTATTCAATAATTTAATAGGAAAGAAATCCAGGTATACGCACGTCATTATCCAAGTGGAATAGCTCACTAAACGAAAACAAAAAAACTTTACTGGTCGATTGAATGATATTGGTCGAATCTATCAACTAGTGACAAGCTTCAAAGTGAACGCGATAGTATTCATGGAAAAAAAAAATAAGCGGAAAGGTTACAGGTAAAATTTATTTATCAATTCATTCAGTTATTTATAATTTAACATATTAGTATACTGCCTGAGTGAGACTTACGGGTTATTGCGATTCTATATTAATATATTAACTTTAATATTAATATGTGTCCGAAAGGGTAATACCCATCCTAGCCCGACGGCTCGATACCAAATTTGGTCAGAATAGCCTTTTAGGACATATACGAATAAACTTTGTGTGATTGGCGAGTGTAATTTTTGATTATTACCTTTTTTGTAATATAGCTATCTAGCCCAACGATAAACCGATTTCCAAATTCGATTGGCTCGATGAACTAGTGAGAGCGCCCAAAGACTCGGTTCCCCATTGTTTTGAAATATAGCGCTTGGCTATTAAGGAATGTTGTACACAGTGAAACTCGATAAGTCGGACACGACGGGCTGGGCATGGCTGTCCGACTTATCGAGAAATCCGAGTTA